CCACCCCATCCTCTAGATGACAGCCCTTCAAGTACTGGAAGATGGTTATCATGTCACCTCTCAGTCATCTCCTCTCCAGGCTAAACATACCCAGCTCCTTCAACCTTTCCTCATAGGACTTGGTCTCCAGACTCCTCACCATCTTCATTGTCCTCCCCTGGACACGGTTCCAGCTTGTCTATATCCTTCTTAAATTGTGGTGCCCAAAACTGAGCCAAATACTCTTGGGTGGAAGTGATGCTCACCTCACATCTTGACTGGCATCCTGGCGCAATAGGAAGGGGAAGGGTTGTCAGACTCCCTCTGTCTCATTTCCCTGACCTGAATGGCCTTCGTGGAGCGGCTGTTTGCCTCATCTGCTTCTCCAGCTTGGCAAACAGAATGGGGTTTGGAAACATTTCAGGTTGGGAAAATGTAGGGTTGCCAGCTCTGGGTTGGAAAATACCTGGAGACTTTGGGGGTGGAGCCAGGAGACAGAGGGGTTTGGGGAGGGGAGAGGCCTCAGCATGGGACAGTGCCCTTCAAAGCATCCCTTTTCTCCAAGGGAGCTGATCTCTGACAGCTGGAGATCATTTGTAAAAGCAGGATATCCCCAGGCCCCACCTGAAGGCTGGACACTCTAGGAAAATGGCATGCAGGGCAGGGTCAACTCCCTCTTTTATGTTCAGCTTCAGGCACAGGGCCAAACAGGAGCTGCAAGAATGTCACTCTGCCTGCCTGCCAGCTGCCCCGAGCAAGTGAGACTCAAAGCAAAAGTGGCACTGCCATTTAATGTGGCCCAGTCACGACAACTCCCACCACTGTCCACGTTATGCAGCATCTCTACTCTGTCCTCACTGCTGTTTCTGCTACTCTTGAGCTCCTCAACTGCCAGGCCTGGAGAGCATTTTGGCTCTTCCGGGGAGAGCAAGCAAAAACACCATCTCTGCCCTGCAGGTCTCTCTGCCTGTCTTGAATGCCTGACCCCCCGACACTGCTCTCCTGGCTGCTTTCTCCTGTTATCAGTGGTGCAAATGAGCATCTTAGCAGCCTGCACCATGGGGGCATTTCCTCCTTTCTCCCTGGAATTGGGCAGGGGGGATCCCTGGGGCGAAGGGGGCCAGGGTTGACCATTCTGTCCTAGTATGATGGGGCACACACACAAACACACCCAGAAAAGTAGAGAAACCTGCAAAAGCAGATTTGAAAGTAAAACACCAGTTTCAAAGTGACAACAAATATGCTGGGGGTAGGGTGTCATAATGAGAAAATGACCCAAACCATTTTTTTAAAAAATCACCCCTAATTTCAACCAGACTGGTCAGTCCAGATCATTTATGGTATGTTACACTGGTAGCTGTTTTGTGTGTCTGGTTTCCCCCATGGAAAGGGTTCAAACGTATTGGCACCCTGCTCCCAAGTGAGCCCAGGTTCTTCCCAAATGCAGCTTGGGAGGATTCTCCTGTAGGGAAGGCAGAGGGATTTTCACCCTGCAGCCTCTACTTCCTTTTTAAAAAATTAGATATCAGGATCCCTGCTTTGTTATCAGCATTCTGAATCAGAAGAGGAGTTTCCTCTAGAAACACCCTTCTCAACCTTTGAAATGCAAACAAAAACTAGAACTACAGTTCTGAATCACAAAACTGACTAAACGCTAGGAAGATATGCTCCCATTCCATTCCCTTCACGGCCCCAAGGCAAAACGAGGCTTATGCAAGCGTGCAAATTTGCGTTGTATGGATGGGAAGAGACACATGACCATCTCCTCTGTTCAGGCTCCAGGTCTGTCATATTAAGCCCCCTCCCCAAACTGGTGCCAGGGAGGCCAGATCCCTTCTGTTCATGTATTTCCCCTTCCAATTCAGACCAGAGAGCCAGTTTGGTGTAGTGGTTAAGTGCGCGCGGGCTCTAATCTGGGAGAACCGGGTTGGATTCCCCACTCCTCCCCTTGCACCTGCTGGATGACCTTGGGCAAGCCATAGTTCTGTCAGAGCTGTCCTTGAAAAAGAGCAGTTTCTGTCAGAGCTCTCTCAGCCCCGCCTACCTCACAGGGTGTCTGTGGTGGGGAGGGGAAGGGAAAAGAGTTTGTAAGCCGCTCTGAGACTCCTTTGAGTAGTGAAGGGTGGGGTATAAAGCGAATCTCCTCCTCTTCTTTGTCTGAGGAAGGGCCTTTGGGCAACAGCAGTAAAGTGATGCTCTGGGACAACCATTTCAAAATGTTTATTAAATGTTTAAAATAACATTAATTCCAGGTTAATAAGTTTGCCAAGCTTCTCACATCCTTTTGTTTGATGAGACACTTTGCATGGGGGATCCCAAACAGAACACCCTAAAACCACACACATGATCTGTAGCTTCAATAGCTGTGCATTTCTTGTAACAAATGTATAGAAAGATTGGTTTTGCACCTTAAAAACTTTGGGCAGTGGAAGAATGAGTCTTCTGTGACAAAGTGGCCTCATTCTATCATCCTGATTATACAGAAATGAAGAAATGGATTCTAAACATTGTCATTTTCCACTGCAGTTGCTGGGCAGTTATGGAAGTCACAATTTTAGTAACTGGTGAATGAGATGGACCGCCTTGACAGGTTAAACTGCATCAACTAGTACAAAGGCCTGCGCATTGTCCCAATAAGGTTTCACTTTGTTCTTGCTAAGAGTTAGCACCATATAGCAGGATCGCTTCCTTGCTAGGAATGTACGAAGCGTTTCATTTCTCCTCCTCTATCCTTAGGCCCCAAATTCCTCTCACTTTGCTGCAAGAGTTTCAGTGCAAGAACAGAAGCAACACCTTGCCTCTAAATCTGGTGGTTTTCAGACTGGGTTGCAAGGAACTTTAGGGGTTCTTTATTGAGAAGTCCATCAAGAATGGGCATGCTTCCCTAAAAGACAGTGTGCCTGTTATTCCCCATGCTCCCGTGCAGTACTTTGCTGCAGAGGCACAATGCATGCAATTATGCATGCACAGTTCACACAGGTGAGCAATTGAGGCTCAGCATGCCTGGCTAACATGACCCAGGAACAATGCATGCTTTGGAATATGCCCCCAAATTTCCTGCCACCCCCTGTGGTCCCATGGCAGTCTATCTGTGGGAGGAGGTTACCCTGAAGTTTGGAAGTTTGAAAACCACTGCATCAGTGAAACCTTTATGTTTGACTGTTCAGCCAAAAACATTCCTCTACTTTGTTCTCAGTTGCATAAGGATTATTTAAGACTACATGGTGACTTCCGTTTCTGTGATCATTTTGGATTTCTAACCTTGAGTTCTTGGGATCTCACACAGGAAAGAGTGGGAATAAACCGGCATTTCACAAAGGCCAGAGGTTCACAACATTTCAAGCTGGCTGCAGGAGTGGAACTGGTACTGAAGAAGTACAAACTGACATATACATACAGACACTCACGCATGTTAGCTCTTGGTAGAAACAGCAACGCCACAGTTTGACATGAACAACATGGTTTAGTTACAACATTTTGCCAAGACCGCTTTAGCAGGATTCAGAGCCACGGGCCAAGACCCCAAGACCAAATCTCCTTGCAATGGTGTGGCGCCTAGGTCCCGCTGGATAAACCTCAGTTCTTTGGGCCTTGGAGTCTTATTTGTTCATTTGGTACTTTGGCCTTAGGCTCAGTATCAGATGTGCTGTTGAGTGTGCATATGGGGATATTTTTTAAAATTTAACCCATCTCTCCCCCCCCTGCACCAGGCCCCCCACAGGAACCACTCACCGTTCCCCACCACGCCTGCCAGCCATTATTCAGCTCTGCTTCTCCACCCATGTGCTTGACATTTTAAAATTGCTACATGGCAGACCCCAGAATCAATAGGCAACAGGATCTCGGAGGGTGTGTGTGTGTCAGAGAAAAAGGAAGTCAGAAAGCGGATGCAAATCAGGTTGGGATGGAGAGCCAGAGGAACAAATGCAGCTTGGTGCGAATCCTGCTTGGGCAGGTTTCCTATCCCACGTTGTCACAGCAGCCTGGCAGTTGGCAACTGACACCAATAGTATCTGGAACTCAAGACCCTAAGGAGGCTGGGGGGGGGGGAAATGCCGGAGGGCCCGCTCCTCACAATCCCCTCCTGGAGCCCAATTCTGACTCTTACTGTGCAACATCTATGAAGCGAATAAAGTGCACTTCTTGTTGTTTTTGGCAAGCTGTAGCTGTTTAATCAATTGGCAGCATGAACTAGCCAACAATCCACTAGTGCATGCACTTCAGGTGCTATTAGAACATGTGCAGAACTCATCGAGAGTAAGTGCCAGGGACCTGTGGGACATCCCAACAAGCACACATCAGGGCTCTCCACTTAAATTTTTCTTTAAAAAGTGCTTCCTGTTAGCCCCACTTCATTATAGTGCGCTCTGTCATCATTTTGTTGATGTCAAGACACATGGCTCCTAACCTGGAGTGCCCAGGCTAGCCCAACCTCATCAACTCTCAGAAGCTAAGCAAGGTCAGCCCTAACAGGTATTTGGATGGGAGACCTCCAAGGAACATCAGAGTTGTGATATGGAGGCAGGCCAGGACAAGCCACCTCTGAACGCGTCTTGCCTTGAAGACTCCACCAGGGGTCTCCAGAAGTCAGATGTGACTTGACGACAAGGAACAAGAACAAAGACACATGGGTTTTCCTATCATGAAATAACATTTTATGAAAGACCCCTGAATACACCTGGAACAAAAAGCTATTTTGTGTTCAGGCAGTATTTTGCTTCTGACTTACAGCATATCAATTGCGGTAACAGGAGCACAGCACTGAAGGAGATTTGCTTGGAATGTACGAGGCGTATGAAGCGAATGTACGACAGGATTCCTCTTAAAGATCAAGGCAGTTCTTAAAGATGGACACAGAGGACCTGCACTGCATGCATATGGTGAGCAGCCACCACCCTTCTTGGTCAGATCTCGGAAGCTAAGCGGGGTCAGCCCTGGTTGGTGCTTGGATGGGAGACCACCAAGGGAGTCCAGGGTTGCCACGCAGAGGCAGGCCATGCCAAACCACCCCTGTGGGTCTCTTGCCTCGAAAGCCCCACAGGGGGTTGTCTTCAGTTGGCTGTAACTTGACAGCACTTTCCCCCGCCAATCCGGTCTTAAAACACAAGATCCCCTGAAAGCTAACACTGAGTCCTGAAACCCTACTTTCGATTTCATGATTGTTTTCCTGAGTGTCGAGAAGTGCCGCTCTCATCACTCGCTTGAGGGCTTTTATCTTGGCGATACCAAGCTTCATCTGATGCCTCCACTGAGCCCGTAAACAAAAATTGGGGGGGGGGGCTGTCACTAAAGCCAATCAGATTCAACGGCAGTGTGGGAGGGGGCGAATCAGGCCAGAGAGGGGAAAGAAGACATGAGAATAAGGTCAAAACCCCAACAAAACCCCGTGAAGAATATTTGAGACGGTGTGAGTGTTCTCTTCAATACTCTGCTCAGAAGAGCTGAGTGGTCTAATATTGAAGCGAATCGTGCAGTTTGAGGGTATGCTGCCTTCCTTTGCCAGGAAAAGGCTGCCAGCAGAGGCGCTCAGAATATTCTCAAGCAACAACTTTCACAAATGGAAGGCACTGGAGGCTAAGAAGATGTGTCCAGGGGATGCTACGGGTTCCACATGGCACAAACTGTCTGGGTTCTCTCCTCCCTGCAACTTTTCGTGAGAAATGGCCCCGCTAAGGAAATAACGAAGAAAAGGGAGGATTGAACTGAATGGCACATTCCCACTCTGGCCTCACACAGTGGCCATCAGGGTTAGCGGGGACTTGAACTGGGGAACCTTTGAGCTTACTCACTGCTGCCCCTTGTGGTGAATGCCAGGAAAGCGGGGAAATATTATCCTCCCCAGGTTCTAGCATGCCTCTACATCCAGACACTTGTGGGCTCGTGCTGATCTAACCTTGGTATAAATGCTTCTAGATCTGAGCAGAGATTTTGCCGGGACCCAGTGGGTCTTGACTGTTGGCTCATGCTTTCCTCTGCCCACGTCAAGCCTGCCTGTTCCTTCATATCGAAATAAAAGACAGCTTCTCTACTGCCATTCAACTTCAATGGAGCATTTCCTTACAACTGATAAATCTATTCACTCTGCAGCACGTTGGGTGAGAGGGACTTAAATCGGAACATTGATATTTTACTGTGTGTCAAACAGTAGCCCTGTTCACTAAGTTACAGTGAGTGCAGATAAAATTCATATACTCTATACACTTGATTTTTCTTTATACGTGCATCAAGTAATTCTCATGTTACATTTGACCCACGTTCAGCTGAATGTGTGACTGAAGCCACAGATATATCCAGGCATGGCTCCCCAGTCTCATTTGTAAAATCAATGCACATTGGCCCTTCCTTACAGAAAGGATGTATGTGCATTCACTGTAACATGGGAACAGGGCTAGTTTCTCTCTGGGAAGCACATTTATGAGTGAAACATGTTGGTAAATTTAGAAACCCACTTGATTCCACACACCCACTGATGTTGCTGTCTGACCAACTGGTGGCATTGCCCTCACTGACAAACATGGCAACCAATGAGCAGCTTTTGCAAGATGTGCCCCTCCCCCAGACAGCCCAAATTATAATGATGGGCATTTATTAGCTCATGTCAAACTCGGAACCTCATTTGCCATGGGTTTTGTATGTTCCATATTCACTGCCTGTAAACCACACCGGTTGGATTCTGAATTTGGGCATGGGGGGGGGCAGATGGTGAGTGTGTGTGGGACACTGCTCCACTTAGCTGCTTTGTAACTGTTTTCTTAAGAGGCATCCCGAGTGGGAAGTATGTGAAATGACCTTGAATGCCTGTCTCTGCTAGTTGGCCTGTCGTAGATAATGTACTGTAGGTTTGCAGGTGGGGAAGGAGGGCTAGCGGAACGCGCTAGGTTTAGGTGGGCTGAGTGAATGAATTGATTGGACAGATCATGGGGGGAGGTTGTTTGAATCATGTATAATTCCAGAAGTGGCGCCAAAGGAGTCAGTTTTGACACAAGATGGTCTTAGCTTGATACATTTGCATCTCTCAATAAACAAATCACTACCAAGAGAGTGCTGTTGAGAGTAAGTTTGTTCAAGAGGCTGACAGTTCACAACTGTCTCTTGCAACTACTGAAGATCAGTTGCATTTATGGTCACCAGCAAACTTATGAATAGGAATAAAAACAAAGCCCAGGGATTCCTCGGTTCACAGTTTAAGCTCTTGGGCCAGAATGATAGTATCTGCTCAGTACTGGACTGAAGCCCCAAAATGCGTGTTTGTTTCTCCTCCAACATGGCAAGTCACACACAGGATCTTTACACTGTGCATTTCCCTGCCCCACCTCTCAAGGGCAACCAGCGAAGCTGGGTAGGGAAACACACAATGCCATGCTGTCCCACCATGAGCCAATGGCCCTAAAGGAGGAAGATGAAATTAAGTACAGTGCAGGGCCTTTTCTGTGGTGGGGCTCAGTGGTACTGAGTAGCAGCATGTTTTTTTTTTGGGGGGGGGGGTCTTCCAAGTCCTGAGAGGAGAAATGGTGGGAAATGATGCAACCTGACACATGAGCATTGGCACTTAAAAAAAACAACAGAAGAAGTACTGTGCACAGGGCTCTTGTTTTTAGTAGCAACAACAGGGTATTTAATGCTCCAGCCTTCGCCATGACTCTGCACTGGCTCTCAAGGCATACATGCAGAGGCTTTTTGCCATTTATTTCTTGGTTTATTGTGCTGATTCCCATGTTTCAATTAGGATGTAAGTAATAAGACTGGGGTCAAGGAAGGGAGCTATTAGGTAGCTCCAAAGGTAAAAGACAGCAGCTTTGGTAACCCACAGCTCTTCACTGGGGAGAAAAATTCACCTGTGTTCAAAACTTTGGTTATGGCTTTGAAAATTAGCCTGGTGGACCTAAAGGGAAGACGATGGTGAATTAAAGCATTAGTAAAAAAAAAAAAAAAACCATCAATGACCCTATCATAATGCAGGTCGGTTGCTGCAGTCAAAAGAGACTTTCAAGCCCAAACACCCACAGTTATTGTCTGGAGGAGACGGAAACCCTTCTGAAAGACCTTCCGTTGTCAGGAACCGGGCAGAAGTTTTCAATGCCTGAGGGTGCTGGAGGCCCGGAAGTAGCTCAGGAACTTGTAGCAAAGGTTCACCACGAAATACCAGATGTTCTGAGCCATCTGCGACCTTGCAATGAAGACGCGCCAAACGATCACTAGCAAGGTGGTGTTGAATGCGTACTGGATGTTCCGTAGCCTGATGGAAACAGAAGAGAGAGAGAGAAGAATCTGAACATTTACCTTTGAGGCAACAGGCAGTGCACAGTGGTATCGTCCTGTCACAGAAAGAGGGTGGCTAGTCTCATTTCATGCCAGCATTAAGTTAGGCTCACAGTTCCTAATGGCTCCATCTCAGATCATGCAACCATTATGCAGAAAATCACGCGGCCATGGGGATGGGGTGGGGTGGGCAGTATGAGAAGAGGCACAGCAAGCAAGGGATGTGAATTTGGGTATGAACTAATTAAAAAAACCCCAAAATGTCCCATAGCCCTGTTGCACTAGCAGAGGAGCTTTCCTCCAGTGGACAAAATATTCCTCTCAGGCTTTCTGGAATGGATGCAACCCCCTGTTTATTAATTTAACAGAATTAATCTAAACGGAAACATTAACCACAGCTGGTAATAAGCACAAAAGGTCACTAATCCTCAGTATCCTGGTGCCTCATTGTAGGGACAGAGACTGAGTCACCAGATACTGTAAATGACAGGGACATTGTCCAGCCAGCAGATTTACATCGATCTCACCACTGAAGACCATTGCACTGATAGTTTCCTCTGCACAGAGTTTGTGCAAATCACTGGCATTTTCTCGGTGTCTTGCCATTCTATATTAGTGGTAGCAATAATTCCATCTCCCTGATTATGCGGGATACATTCTCACTGAAAGACTATGTGTCTACAGCTTTTTTTGCTATTTCCTATTTTTTCTGAGAGAATGCCTCTCTTGGGGCTTCCAAGTGTTAGCTCTGTAATGCTGCCAGCCTCCTTGGGTGGCAAGGAAACAGTATGTCAGGGGAATTTTCCCCTTTGAAATGGAAGACCAGTTCCATCTTAGTGAAGAAGCCTTTGGTGAAACACGGCTTGTTATCAGCTAGCTTACATGTAAAGAAGAATATCGGAGGAACCTACATTAGTTCATCCACCAGGCTCCGCTCCAGTGAATCCTTGAACTCCTGTAGGGCTATTAAAACTGGGAGAGTGTGTTCCGCATTATTGGAGTTTCTGGTGTGTGAGCTTAAATGTATCTATGTCCTGTGGTATGTAAAACACGCCTTGTTATACTTAATTTCATTATATTTATATTACATTGGACTGTGTCATCTTTATTACATTTTGATACAAATTGTTTAAGATTTGTGGTTGTTTATCATTGACCACAGATTATTCCCTTTGTTTTGCATGACTCTCTAGCCGTAGCACCGCCGACAACAAATATCTTTCTGTGCCCACTCTGCCCTTCTGCCTGTTGTCCGGGGTTGCCAAATGTACATCTGTGCTTGCTGTGCCAGTAAGAAAATTTTGAAGGGGATCTCTCCTATGTGCCTGAAATTTGCCAGGCCTGATTCCACGGCTGAGGGGTACAGACTCTAAATGCTGCACTCCAATTGGGATGAAACCCCAAAACATTACAGAAATGAGTCCTCCACTGAAACCAATGCATATTAATAACAGACAGAACAATGTTAACAAACACATGCAACCGTGAAAATAAACAGGTACATTTTTTTTAAAAAAGAAAACAGATCAAAACCAAAAATGCGTAATTTTTGCACATGCTCTTAATGTCAGCGACTGCATTCCTAAGCTACTCGAGTGATGTGGGATGGAGCCCTGCTGTGACCAGTCTGGTAACAAAACAACCAGTCAACTGCATCTTGCTGTGGTCAGATCCTCTGGGCTTGTCAGATGAATTCCACGGATGGGAGGGATGAGGAAATGGTACACCAACAAACGCTGTTACATGGAGGATGACTATGATGGTCTGCTTGCTCCTTGTGGACTGTCCTGTTTTTAGAATCAGCATGGCAGGACACGCCAGTGACTCCCAAGGAAGACTTGACTGTTGCATTTTGCCCTCTGTGGAAGCTGTACATGGGTGCTCTGTGGAAAGCCAGAGGTCTTCCCACTGCAGCTACTGACCAGGCAAGTGGCTTTAAAAAAATTCAAACTAAATAGCGAATTACCTGTCCAGCATGTAGCAGCCTAAATAGCCCAGCTTAGGACAGCTTCTTCAGGGTTTGGGAGCTAAGCAGGGTTGGTGGAAGGGAGCCCATCAAGGAAGACGGTTTCCTATGCAGAGGAAAGCAATGGCAAACCACCTCTGCTCATCTCTGTCCTGGCAAGTGCTATGGATGGGGTCACCATGACTTGGTTTTTACTCTGTGGTCCTTCCTCTAGTAGCACCTTAGTAGAGACCAATAAGATTTTCAGGGTATGGGCTTTTGAGGGTCAAAGCTCCCTTCATCCCTTGATATCTGACGAAAGGAGCTTTGACTGTCGAAAGTTCGTATCGTGAAATCTCGTTGGTCTCTCAGGCGCTACTGGTCTTGGATCTGGCTATTCTACTGCAGGCCAACGGGGCTGCCCTTTAAAACCATCTGCTCAACAGGTACTTCTTATGCTGTCCATACAGAAAGAGAATGCTCTCTAGAGCAGTATTGAAAATGCTCTGGCCGGGGACTTCTCAAGCACTACATAACTTCCCATGTGCCTTACTTTCTTAAGTGCTGCTTTGCGGCGGGAATTCCAGCCATGTCTTCATTCAGCAGATACTTCTTGGTTCCTAGGCAGTAATTTTCAATGTACTCAGACCAATGCAGCTGACGGACATCAAAGCAGTATAACTGGTATAGAAGGGGGGAGGGAGAGAAAAGGAAAGAACGTTGTGATGTATCAAATGCTATGTGATAACTGGTGGCCAGGTCCATCTTGGTCATCTTGAAACTCCCTTTCCCATGAGATATCTACTTTGGACCTTCCTGGTCGTGGCCCTAAGACAGTGGAACTCCCTTCCCCATGGGATGCACCTGCCCCCTATTTTGCACCTTCCTAGTGGTGGCCCTGAAGACTTCCTTCCTCCTGAGATACACCTGGCATCCACTTTGGACCTTCTTGGTGGTGGATCTTCCTAGCCTAATCTCGTTAGATCTCAGAAACTAAATAGGGTCAGCTCTGGTTTGTGATTGGATGGGAGGCCACCAAGGAAGTCCAGGATTGCTACACAGAGGCAGGCAATGGCATCTCTGAATATCTCTTGCACTGAAAACTCTATAGGGTTGCCATAGGTCAGCTGTGACTTCATGGCAAATAACATTTAAAAATAGCACGAGATGTCACTGCCAAGGAGGGCTGAGTGCCAGAAGCAGAGACTCATCTATGCTGTATTCCTCCACCCTACAAATTTAGCAAGTCGGACCAACCATAAATGCCAGAAATATGGAACACTGGGGGATGGTGGTGGAATCAATGCCTGCCTAACAATTAGCTCCAGGGAATCTGACACCGGTGCCTGGTACTGTCAAACTGGGGAAAGAATGGAACTTCCCACTTCTAGTCTGGATTGTTTTGACAGACAAACTGAATCCAAAGCGGCAATGGATTTCTCAGGCCTCCAAACATGTACAAAGAAACTGAAGTGTGGTATGAAAAGTCCTGAGCCCCGCCTGGTCTCACATGTAATTTAGGCATTTGTCTTGGAACCCACTAGACAGAGGGAGCTTGCTCTGGAAATTGATCCACCCCACCTTGAACCCAGGCCAAGTTTTGTTTATGACAAAATTCGACAGCATTCAAAACAGAAATGTGAATTGTTTTCTTAAGGGCTAGAATCGGCTACATGGCTGCAGAGAAGAATAATTACGCCGATAAGAGTTGGCAAGAGTTTCTTGATTGATTAGATGCTTACTTTCTTGTCTTTGGTGCTGAGCTGATTCATTAACATGTTTACATTATCTGAACTCCATTCCCAAGTACGGCTGGTAAAATATTCTAGAAGGGTCATAGTCCTGTGCAGCCGATTGAAAATCTTCATCATCCTAGAAGAGAGAATGGAGATTATGATGGGATTTAAAAATAAGATAATTACTTTTTCTCTGAACGGATTGGCCACTGTAGATCAAAAGATAGTGCATGAATTTCAAAAACTAATCCTGGAGCAGTGTCCCCCACTGAAAGAACCAGCTTGCACTACTTGTTCCATGAATTCAGAGAGGCATCTCTCTTGGAAACCAGTCTCTTCATGTCTTAGAGTGAACCACTGAACTCTTCCCAGAGCAGTTGGTTGGGGGGGGGGGAAATCAATAATTTTACTCGACATGGCAAACCGTTGGATGCACCTAGCACAGCTCTCTGGATTTTGCCCAATGACTTCAACCCAACCAGCAGCTACAGATACTACAGTCACTTTAAAATTAATGGGACTTCAGCACATGTGTTTAGGAACTGGACTGAACCACGCTGAAACAGATAAGTTCCCCCGAGTTTTTTTCAACCACAATTCTCCTGCCAATAGATAAATCACACATGAATTCATAACCACGAAGACAAATAAGACTAAATATCCAGAGAGAACAAATCAATGGACCAACAGCTAATCTGGATCTGTTTACATGCTCAATAGTTTAGTACGTACAAACTTTCAATCAATCAATCAATCAATCTAATTTATTGCGGCAGGAGCCAGTAAAAGATACAGACTTTGCCAATAAGTGCTTACCCCTGGCTAGTGCTAAAGTTGGATTTCCTGTAACGGCATTACGGAAAAGTTGCAAATAAATAAAATCTACACACACATCCCTGTTATGACATCATACAACTAGGGGTGTGCATTCGGTAAAGCCAAACTGGAAAAAAAACCCCAAAAACTTTTTTGACATTTTTTTGGTATTCGTCATACCAAATCAGATCCCCTGAGCTGATTCTGCTGCCAAATACTAAATGCTGAAAAAAACCACCCAATTTTTTTTGGTTTCCCCCCCGGCTTTCTTGGAGCGATACTACTGCCTGCCTTTTTTTCATCCCTATAGGAAACAATGGAGGGTTGGGGGGCACCCTCTTTGGATGCCCCTAGAATTGGACCCCCTGGTTCAATCTTTTCCAGACTTGGGGAGTCTTTTGGGGAGAGGCTCCAGCAGCTACAGTACAAATCTAGTGCCCCTAACTCAAACCCCTCCCCCCAGCCCCCTGAATACTTGTTAGAAGATTTTTGTCATTGACTACAATAGCCCCATAGGATATAATCAAATTTTGGTATTTGGATATATTTGGGGATCCCAAAATTTTTTGGCTTTATTATACTTGAATCCGAATTTGTTTTTCTTTTTTCCTGCACTCCCCTACATACAACATTTATCAGAACTGGTTATATTCTTTTTATCTTTTCCTGAGGCTCCAGGACTGGAATCTGGCACTTACAAACTTCAGTGTGTTGAGCTCAGCAACAGCATCATGGAAGGAAAGGGAACATGTTACTCCCATTCTGCAGTCTCTCCATTGGCTGCCCACCAGTTAACAGGTTCAATTCAAGGTATCGGCAATCACATACAAAGCCCTTCGTGGCCATGGCCCCTCGTATCTAGGGTAGCCAACCTTCAGGTGGCACTTGGAGACGTCTAGCTATTACAACTGATTTCCAGACGGCCGAGTTCAACCCCCCTGGAGAAAATGGTTGCTTTGAAGGATGAGATTGGTGGCATTATACCCGCCTGAGGTCCCTCCCCTCCCCAAAGCCTGCCTTACCCAGGCTCCACCCCCAAAATCTCCAGGTATTTCCCAGCCCAGAGCTGGCAACCCTACTCATATCTGTGAGACTTCCTCTCTCCCTATGCTGCGCCACAACAGCTTCTCTTATCTGAGCAAGGCCTTTGGCAGGTGCCACCATAGGAGCATAGAATCACAGAGTTGGAAGGGGCCCTACAGGCCATCCAGTCCAATCCCCTGCTCAATGCAGGATCAGCCTAGAGCATCCCTGACGAGTGTTTGTGCAGCTGCTGCTTAGAGACTGCCAGATAGCCAATTCCACTGTTGCACAACTCTTACTGTAAAAAAAGGTTTTCCTAATAATCAGCTGGTACGTTCCTGCTCTTAATTTAAACACATTATTGCGAGTCCTATCCTCTGCTGCCCACAGGAACAGCTCCCTTCCCTCTTCTAAGTGACAGCCCTTCAGACACTTCAAGAGAGCAATCATGTGTCCCCCCTCAACCTCCACTAACATTCCCAAGTCCCTCAGCCTTTCCTCATACAGCTTGGTCTCAAGGCCCCTGATCATCCTCTGTCGGTCTCCCGCTCCATTCTATCCACATCCTTTTTTGCAAACAGGCAAAAAAACCCGTCCTGTTTGGTGTAGTGGTTAAGTGTGCAGACTCTAATCTGGGAAAACTGGGTTTGATTCCCCACTCTTCCACTTGCAGCTGCTGGATGACCTTGGCCAAGCCATAGTTCTGACAAGAGCTGTCCTTGAAAGGGCAGTTCTCTCAGAGCTCTCTCGGCCCTGCCTACCTCACAAGGTGTCTGTTGTGGGGTGGGGAAGGGAAAGGAGTTTGTAAGCCGTTCTGAGACTTTGAGTGAAGGGCGGGGTATAAATCCAATCTCCTCCTCCTCCTCCTCCTCTTCTTCTTCTGTACATTCGTTGCTGTGACCTCATGGGATGGCCTGCCTGAGGAGGTCAAGGAGGCTCCCATTCGCCTGGCTTTCCACAAACGAGGCAAAACGGAATTATTCAGGAGGGCATTTTTTCCAAGGTAACTGGGCTATACCACAATGGAGTGGTTCATGAAGATGCTTTAATAAAGGGAGAGGGGATGTAGACCATACTAGCATATAGTCTGTTGTTGTCTGTATTATTTTACTATGTAATTTCCACATTGTTTGACATGTCATTTTAATACTTATGGTTTGCTTCAGATTTCCACTTGGTTTCAGATCTCTGCAATCCTAAACTGATTGCATCGCTTACTGGATGCCTTCTCCTAGTCATTGTGTTGACTTACCCTGTGCAAGCCACCTTGAGTCTCAGTGAGAAAAGCAGGCAATAAACAATGTAAACAAAGCCCCTGGACAAGCCACATTTATCTCACAGGCTGCAAGAAGTAGTTCTCCTTTATTAGCTACCAGAGTAACAATGCATCACCAAAGCATTCCTCACCTTGGCTTCCTTCCAGTTAACCTCAGATACAAATCGTACAGCAAGGCCGGGACTCTGTGGCTGACCGTTGTCCAGTACTGATGGATCAGATAGCTTGAGGTCATGTTTGCACTGGGTATTCTGAAGGCTTTCTCCAAGGGGTTCCTCTTGTATGTGGCTATGACATAATTTTCTGCAAGATAAAAACGAAAACAGATGTTTTCATCAAAAGAGTGGTTGTGCAGAGAATGTGCTGGCAGCAGCATGCCAATGCGCCTGAATTAAATTACAACCAGCAGACAATGCAAAGCTTGGGAACCACGCTGGGATTTTTGACTTTCTATCAAAAATCCAACTGAGAATGGTTGACCTGCCCAGTGTTAGTACCTTTTTGGCAAGCAATTTTGGAGACAGTTACAACAATGACGGGGATGACACTAGAATTCACTCTGGAATGCCTCCTATTAGGAGCAAATTGGAATAAAGACCAACCTGAATGGATACCTACGGCTATTGTGATTCTTTTATCAGCTGCTAAACTCTCCATAGCTTCTTGTTGGAAAATCTCCACTGCCCCAACTCTACAGATGTGGCATACAGGATTATGGAATCATTACGTCCTAGCGAGACTTACTTTTAATTTGAATCAGACGACATCAACTACAGCCCTCTTTGAGTTTAAGAAAATTTGGTCACCAATCTTAACTTATCTTTCTAATCAGAAGGAAATCCCAAAGAAATTATATCATTGTTATGTTTAATATATGTTCATATACACTGTATAATTAGAATAAATTTGAAAAAAAATCAATTTAATTAAAAAAACAAACCCAACTGGAAGCAATGGGGTCCTCTGTCACCATTATCATTTTCATCCCAGGTTTACATTTATAAAAAGGGCTGTATTGTTATTACAAATAGAGAGCCAACCCTCCAGTCAGTTCAGCTTTTGTGCTAGTTACTCAGAGATGACCACACTAAATGCAGTTCTTTTTTTTCTTTTTGGTTTTTTAAAAAATAGGTACATGTGTATGCATGCATGTGAGTGTGCGTGTGTACCTGGAAGTCAGAGTGACGTCTGGTGACTGACCCCTACTGGAGGCCTGGAGGATATTCAGAGAGGCGGCCGAATAAAGCCCGCCTCCGCCTCCCGCCTCTGGTATTTCAAAGAGGTCTCCCATCCAAGTACTTGCCAGAGAGTCGACCCTGCTTAGCTTCCGAGGTCTGATGAGATTGGGCCTGCCAGGGCTATCCAGGTCAGCTACTAAATGCAGTTCCTGTTTCTAACCTTGTGCCCTGGAAGACAAAGAAGTGGCAAGGCGAGGGGGGCAGGGGAGATTTGCACCACCTTCCTCAGATGGTTACTTAGGGGAGAAAAGGACATAACTGGGATTATAACTGGGACGCTCAACTGCTGGCAATAGTCCTTGGCCCGGAGTATCCCTGCCAAATGTTGTCCACATTGTAGTTAAAATCTTTGTTCATAGTAGGGGTCATTTCCTGCAGGAGCGCACAGGAGCGGAGCTCCGGCAGTAAAGAGCCCAGGGGGCGGGAACATGCAACAAGACCCACCCCCTGCTCCCAGCAGGCCTCAGTCAGAGCAAGAAGCAGCCAGGTAAGTTGCAGAGCTCCCCCTGGTCCAAAACAGTCCAGTGGCACCTTTAAGACCAAGTTTTATTCAGGTACAAGCTCTCCCTCCTCTGTGACGACAGATCTACACGTTTCCCCCCCCCCCCAATAGCTAGCAATCCAAAACAGTCCAGTGGAGCCTGAGCGGTGGGTGTTGCCTTCTGACACACTTCCAGTGATGTCAGGGGGTGTGGCATATGCAAATAAGTTATGCTAATGACCTCTTTTTCTACGAAATGACCCCTGGTTCATAGGGTTGCCAGTTCTGGGTTGGGAAATACCTGGTGTTTGGGGGAGAGGGTGGAGCCTAAGAAAGGGGGAGTTTGGAGAGGGGAGGGACTTCAGTGGGGCATAACGCCATTGCGTCCACCCTCCAAAGCCGCCCTTTCCTCCAGACGAACTGATCTCTACAGCCGGGGAGCTCAGCTGTAATCCCAGTGAATAGTCACCCACCACTTGGAGGCTGGCAACCTTATCTGTCCGCCTCGCTCGAAAGGAAAATCTTTTTCAAGGTGTGAGTCAAAAGTGGTACAGGGCTTAATCAGGCCAATGTATGCCTTCTAACATTTATAACTAACAGCAATTGCAGAAGAAAGGCTGTCCGGCCCCCGATAAAACAAGTCTGCCAGGTGTTAAGGTCTCATTTTCACAAATTAGAGGGGACAGTACACAGCTGGGGGCTCCCATCACTGAATTCCCCTCCAGACAAGAAAATATCCTGCGCAGGTAAAGCTAGCCAATCAGGACTCAGCCTGGGCTAGTATCCTTCTCTCTGATATCTAAATTTCTATATAAAGAGATTTTTTTTGACACAGAAGTGCTTTCAGGCATGTGATACTCTGATAGAAGAATAAATTGATACAGGTAAGGCACATTTCAGTCACTTCGTTTGCTTGTTGTAAGAATTTTGCCTTAAACGGGGACATCTTTCTTACAGTTGCAGGGAGTATATATGCAGACATCTATATATCTAATACCCAAGTGGCCCCGTCTGTGCGGATATCTAAATCCGCGCTACGGGGCCACCTGGGGGGCAGGGAGAGTTTTGGGCACACGTGGGGCGGTCCCCACGTGTGCACAAAAATCAGAAACCTGAAAAAAAAACAGGGGGATGTTTAAATCCCCCCGAAACTTACAGAGCGTCCCCTGCGCATGCGCAGGGAACGCTCTGCAAGCAGCGAGGGCCGCGCGGCAAGACGCACGGCCCTCGCTTGGGGGGGGGGACCAGCAGCCTCAGCCCTCACCCACCCTCCTTTTCTGCCTCAGCCTGCCCCCCCCACTCCTCCACCCCGAAGCGGAGTCAAAGAACCTACCCCCTCCGCAGCGCCGACTACTCGGGAGTCCAGAAGCCGGCCCCTTATGCCATTCGCGTGGCGCAGCCTCCCCAGCGGCCAGCTGGTGGGTGGGTGGGCGTCCGGAGGGCGTGAGGCTCTGCCAGCTGCATCCAGGAACTGAGGCTCCGGCTGGCCCCGCCCCGCGCCAGCGGTCTCCCCCCGCCCCGGCCCTTCTCGGCAAGCCGGGAAATGACATAGGCCGGGACGGGACACAGGGCAGAAGCGTCACCGGAGACCGTTCCTCAGGCCCCTCCGCAGCAGCGGGTGCAGGTCCACCGTGCCTCTGAGCCCGAACAGAGAGCGGCCGAGTAGAGGGAGGCAGCCGGATCCCAGGGCGGACAGAGCGCTGACACAGAGAGAGAGGAAAGAGAGAGAGAGAGAGAGCAGAAAGAGAGAGAGAAAGAAAGACAGAGGAAAGAAAGAAGGAGAGAGAGAGAGAGAGAAAGACGGATAGATAAACGATGGACGGACGGATGGACAGAGAGATGGATGGCAGGCGAGGAGAGTGCCTCTGACTGTCCGCAGAGTCCCCTCCTCTGCTTTCCCCATTGGCGCACCTAGGCTGTGGCGTCGGCACCTGGCCACATGGGAACGCTACCCCAGGCGGGGCGGGGTGGCCGGGCAGCCTGGCTGGCTGGCTGGCTGACTCCCCGCTTGGCTTCGGTGGCCCCGAGGGGTGGGGCGGCAGCAGGGGCCGCCCCGCTCCGCAGCCACTGTCCGGGACAGCCGGCCCCGTCCCTCCCCTCCTCTCCGGCCCAGTTCCCGGTTCTCTCGGCCCCTTCCCGCCGACCGCTCGGGAATCCAGAAACCAGCCCCTTATGCCATTCGCGTGGCAAAGGGAGACTACAAGACCCAGAGAGCCTGGCGAAGGTGAGCGCGAAACTACAACCCCCAGGATTCTTTGCGCTTCCCGCTGAGCCAGGCAGCTGTGCCGCGGGCGTCTAGCTCACCTCACCTGGGACGCAGCTGGAGGCGGGGCTCTGTGTGGCGCCAGGTGCCAGCCCCGGGGTGCCCCCCCACGAGTATCGCGGGTCCCCCTCTTGTACATTCTATGTAACGCTGTGCTTGAGTGGCAAGAGGTTTATAATTGTGATGCCGATAACTGCACTAGAAGAAAAAAGGTCCTACAAGAGAGATTTACTTCTTACTCTGGTGATCATACAAATGTGCAGAGAGAGTTACGTTCTGTTGTGCTGCTGAAAACTAGCTTAATATGGAATTAGCAAACACTGGCTGTGCTATTTTGAAACCACCAGCAAGGACAAAATCCTCTTCAGCAATACCACTTGTGGCATGTGGGTGTGTGATTATGTTGGGGAGTGAAGGTTAGCAGCATTTTTTTTTTTTGCTTTGAGTGTTAAAAGATGCCTTGATAATTTTTTAATTAAGGATGACTGAATGAGATGATTCACTGCTAACACAGTTATACAGCTCTTGTCATTATAACTGCAATATACAGAATCCTAAAAACATAAAAGCCCTGCTAGATCAGACCAGTGGGTCACCAAGCTCAGAATTCTGTTTCACACAGTGGCCAGCCGGTTCCCCTGGAGGTCCAGCAATAAAGCACAGAGGCTAAGGCCTTCCCATGACGTTGCCTCCTGGAACTGGTGTTTAGAGGTTGACTGCCTCTGAACCTGGAGGTTCGCTTTAGTCACCCTGGCTAGTAGCCACTGACGTATCTATCCTACATGAACCTCTCTAACCTCCTTTTAAAGCTGTCTGTGCCTGTGGCTATCACTACATCCTCAGGCAGCGAATTCCACATCTTAATCACCCGCTGTATAAATAAGTATTTCCTTTTGTCCATCCTGAACCTACTGCCCATCAGCTCCATTGGATGCCCTTGAGTTCTGGTATTTGTGGAGAGGGAGAAAAAGTTTATTTTCGGAGAAGATTGTTTTGCAGTCAGGGCTCTTTTTGTAGCAGGAACTCCTTTGCATATTAGGCGACACACCCCTGATGTAGCCCATCCTCCAAGAGCTTACAGTAGCCCCTGTAAGAAGAGCTCTGTAAGCTCTTGGAGGATTGGTTACATTAGGGGTGTGTCACCTAATATGCAAAGGAGTTCCTGCTGCTGATTTGGTGGCCTTGTGGTCATATCCCATGGGCCCTGGGTTGTGTATAATCCCATGTCCTCATACATTATATTTAGACTTTATACTCTACTTTTCTCCCCAGTGGGGACCCAAAGCAGCTTATAATAATTCCCCCCTTCTCCTTTTTATTC